TTTCAGTTACGATCGTTAACATCAGTGGGCCACAGCAAATGATGGTGAGAAGCTAAATTATCTATTAATTATGTCAATGACAGGGAGTTTGATTGTTGAAATAGGGTGTTAGCGGTCTTGTTGGTGTTCAAAGAAGAATGACAACACTGTAGATCACCAACACTATGGTTTATTTTTTATTCACAGGCAAGTCAACGTTGTCGCAGTAAAAGTCCCAAGATAGCTCCTGGTGCAATAAAATGTTTCCTTGCAGTGTTTTACTATTAAGTCTGATGTTTCTCTATGTAGATGTGTTTCCGAGCCGCTCCGATTACAACGAGAGTTACAACGAGAACGTGACGTCATAATTACACTAGACGAATCCTTTCTAGCCATAACCCTGTTTGAGGGCTTGATAGCCCACTCCCCCTCCACACCGCTCCACACTCGTTGGTTTGGAACAGCCCTCAATATGGCGGACCCTCCGCGTGAACGCGCAAACGGAGGGGTAGGGTGTAGGGGTCGTTCTTATTATACATCCATGGTAGGGGTAGGGTGTAGGGGGCGGTTTGGGAATGGGCCTCCGTCACTGCTGTTGGGATCATGTGACTGCTCAACAGCACTGTCAAGTGACGCACAGAGCGTGAGCGTACACACAGCGGTACCCGGCAGAGAGTCATGGAGCTGCTGCGGGTCGCGGTGTTCCTCGGGCTGTGTCTGGGGGCCTGCTGCTGTCAGGCCGTGGTTCTGAGCGACTCAGCGGGCCTGGGGAGAGGCTTCGACGGGATAGGAGGTCTGAGCGGCGGAGGGGTGAGTTTAGCAACGCTTCCATCTACTTCCGGTACCGCGACGAGCTGTCCACAGAGGGAGCGAGAGAAAGAACCTCAGATGATGAGTCTGTCTGTTTATCTCAGCAGAGAAGTAGTCAGACCTTCTACTAAAGTAAAAGTAGAAGTACTCAGATCTTCTACTAAAGTAAAAGTAGAAGTACCAGAGAGCAGGAATACTAGTCTGTTACAAGTAAAATACAGAAGGTGTAACTAAAGTCTGATTTAAGAGTTGATCATATTTCAGATCATTAATCCAAATCTGTAGTAACTAAAGGTATTAAATACATTTAGTTGAGTACACTATATTTCAATTAGTTAGAATAGTCTTAAAATAGTTTTTAGAATAACTCCCGACAGTACTATTTTTTTATTTTGGTTACCTATTCTTCTTTCTGTGTCTCTGTATGCACCACATATATACCAAAGCATATTCCTCGTATGTGTAAACCTACTTGGTAATAAAACTGATTCTGATTCTTCTGATTCTTATTTACCTCTGAACTGTAGTGGAGTAGAAGCACAAAGTAGCACAAAATTGAAATACTCAAGTAAAGTACAAGTACCTCAAAATTGTACTTTAGTACAGTACTTTAGTAAATGTACTGAGTTACTTTACACCTGTGATTCTCATTCACATTTGTCTACTTGTTCCCAGGCGACGTCTCGGTTACTGGTGAATTATGCCGAGCCCTACCGCAGCCAGATATTAGACTTCCTGTTTAAGGTATGAAATGATAAAGCTATTCGTACAGTTTAGTTGAACGTTTTCGGACACTAATGCACGCCTTTCATTTGTTTGCCTTCAGCCAAACTTTGGAGCTTCCTTGCACATACTGAAGGTGGAGATCGGAGGAGACGCTCAGACTACTGGTCAGTGATATTCAGTAACACAGAGACCAGGTTGGGGGAGTAACGGATTACATAATGGGATTATGTCAGGATACCAACAAAATCTAACTGTATTCCCTTACAGTGACATTAAGATAAAACATAATCAGATTACTGTTACATTTAAAAAATAAATAATCCCTTTTATTTATAAGCGCACTTTTCATTCGCGTAAACAAAACTCAAAGTGCTACAGATTACTTGCAGGATTACAATGAATCAATAAAGAATGCTATATTATAGGTAGACGTACTGCCTGAATTTTCATTTTGGTTATCATCCAGGCTACTTTCATTCTTCTATTTTTAAATATATTTTTTGAATGCAATAGGTGGAACAATGTATCGAAACAAAAATACAGTTTGCTTTTAATTAGGGCCGGGACTTTAACGCGTTAATTAAGATTAATTAATTACACAAAAATTAACGCGTTAAAAAAATTAACGCATTTTAATCGCACTTATTTTTGCACCGCGGAACGTTTCTCACTGGATGAGTTTCAGGGGTACCGATTATACTGGAGCACCAACTAACGTTAATTACTTCAGACAACAACAAACCACAGTGAACAATAGTCAAACGTGAACGAAGAAGCTGATGAGACCGCTTTGGTTGGCCCCGTGAATGGGACATTTTGTTTTAAAAAACGGACGGATGGAAGCGTCAATAAGAGCACGGTTGTTTGCAAATTATGCAAAAAGGAATTCGCATATCACCGCAGCACATCAAGCCTCAAGTATAGCAGCCAGCGTGGAAGCTAGCGTGGACGTTAGCCCGACTCGGAGTACAAGGACCCACACCCAATTCGCGTTGATCAAACAGTGGCCTATGCAACAGAGAGATTTTATTTTTCATCAGGATATTGGAAGAATAGGAGGGATTGAGGTCAATCACTGGCACTTTTTTAA